GGCCCCATACACTACAGCCCAGCATGCCTCCCATGATCTTCTCTACTAGCTAAGATTCAAGACTGTACTGTGTGCGCACGTACCCATCACTATCTTTTAAAACAAGTTCTGGAGAAACTGAACTATTGGTCTGGTCATCGATGTCCTCTGTGGTTAAACCACATTAAAATATCCCTTGTATTCCCTCAAGTACAAAACATATTTTTTAAAGCCAAGATTTCTTTTAGAGATGACTTGCATCTCCAACCTGAGGCAAAAGTAAAAACCTCTTGTATATACCACAGAGGCTACAGACTTGTAAACAGATCTTTATTTGGGATGTGTGTGCGGGTAGGGGGATGTAGGGGGAAGAGGGGCTTCTGTTTAAACCAAGAGTCAGAAAATTTACCCATCTTCAATTCAAGACCATCTTCTATTTGATGAAACATAGTGGTACTAACACAAGGACCTCAAAGAAAGACACTTTGTTTCCTCTTCCTTTGTCAGCACTGTAGCTCAAGACTGTCTCAAATTGTGATAAACAAGGTCTGTCTGGTAATATCTTCTATTGGAAGATATACTTGGAAGAAAGGTTAGACAAGTTTTTGGGCTCTACAACCCTGCTACCAAGTCACCCTAAAAAGAGGGAGCACTGCTGACATTTGGTCTAAAACAGAGTAAGGAGCCTTGGCAGAACCACCAAGTGGTTCAGTCTCAGTGTCAACCGCCAAGTCTCTTCAGCTTTGTCCTGCTCTGTCCCCCTTTATCTCATGGATGTCCCTGGACCAGGAGTAGGTAACTTTTTCCAGCTGCAGGACAAAATGACCCGGTCTAGCTCAGATGTGGGTACTAGAACCTGCACTGCTACTATCATCTTCCTGGCAGCAGGGGGAGGGCCACCACACTCAGAACTTCACATGCCCAATGAAAATGGATACAAAAATAAAAACAAAACAAACCAGGTGCTGATGGACTTGAGCAGCGGTCTCCAACCTTGTAAAGTAGGAGATTACCTTTGGCATTTAAAAGCAACCCAAGATCTACTGTGTGCCATCTACCCCCTGCAAGCAGGTAAGTCTGCGAGGAAAGAAAGGGGGCGGGGACAGACAGATCAAGGCAGCGGCAGAAAAAGTTATCTGGGGACACACCTCCCCAGCAAGTAAGTCCCCCACACTCAATTTACCCCTGCTTCTGCAGCACTGTCCCTCACCGCAGGGACCGCGATCTAGCCCCTGCCCCTTCTCTCCCCCATGGACTGACCTGCTGGGCTGGAGCATGCATGTGCATGCACATGGGCACTCAGCCCTCCCACACCAGCCTCAGATCTACCCCAAGAGGCTCTGAGATCTACTTCAAGTCCAGTGACCACTGGACTTGAAGGTGCCTCCAAGATGAGGAAAGACCTGAGCAGGGGCTGTAGGAATTACATTTAGCTGTTGGGTACAAAGCCCTGCCAGAACACCTAGGTCCTTGTGTGTGTTTAGTCTGTCAGAGCAAGGAATTAGAAGGTGGCTACATAATTAATACCATTGAGTAAGGCAGTCTGGGGAGAGCGCCTGCACCAGGTGCCACTGACACCACACATCCACAGGTGGAATGTGGCACAAGGGCGGTAGGTCGCTAGCCCTGCTCCTGCAGAGAAGGTCCTTGGCTGGCTCCTCCCAACCTGGCAGCTGCAAAATCCCTCCAGGGGCAGTGAGATACTACCAGGGCTGCAAACACCCAGATGCAGGCAAGAGGCAAACCCTCCGGAGCCTGAGGGAGGATCCAGGAGGGGACCCGACACCCACCTTCTTAAAGAGCAGTCTCCAGTACTCGGCCCAGTCGCGGTCCTGGCTCCGCGCGTCCGACTCCTCATCCACCAGGCCCTGCTCATCGTACACGGCGCGCTGCTCGGGGTCGCTCAACACTGCGTAGGCCCGGCCCAGCACCTACGGCGGGACAACGTTACCGCCGAGCCCTGCGGCCCCGCCCCGGCCCGCCCCAGCCCGGCCCGCCCG